TGCTCATACAATTACAAATATTTATTGAATGCCTGTTGTGCACAAGGTCGGGTCTGGAGGTTCAACAACATAATTCTGAGCGAACCAGAGAACATGGATGTGACGCATGGTTCTTGTATTCTGTTGAATTTTTTTTTCCTGAAAACAATTTCCGGTGAAATTAATTAAGGGCCCCGGGGGGGCCCAATGAAAACCAAAGAAAAGAAAAAAAGGAATGAAACCCAAATAACAAAGAAAAAATAACCAACAAAAACTAAGAAATCCTAAGCAAAACTAGAAAGAGTCGGGGAGATGGAGGGAGACTCCCTAGGAAGGGACATTTGACCTGAGTCTTGACAGCGAGTCAGTGTTGACTTAGCACTCCCTGGCCCTTCTCATTCTCCTTTCTTTCCAGCCTTCTCAGACCTCTCTCTGCCTTCACCAACCAGCTGGGCTAGAATGACTTTTCACTTACAAGCTTGTGAGGAGAGAGAAGACAGCTTCCCTCAATTGAAAGAATGAGACGCCTAAAGGCAGCAGCTGTCTTTGTATCAAATCAAACTTAGAGCAAACGGTTTTCACGACTCAGCTGTGAGCCACTTGCTTTGTGTGTTTTCAGCAACTCAAGCACCCCAACCTGGTCACCCTCCTGGAGGTCTTCAGGAGGAAACGGAGGCTCCACCTGGTGTTTGAATATTGTGACCGCACAGTTCTCCACGAATTGGACAGATACCAACGAGGGTGAGTGGTTCAACTCTTAACAAACAAAACAAAAACACGCCAGGATTTGTGAGGGAAAGTCTTTTTAAGACTAGGCCAGAATACTCTGCTGCTGGGGGTGACGTCAAATAACTACCAAATTATTGTGAAAGATCATAAATGGTGATTTTCACAAAGAAACCAGCAATAGCTTTATTCATCTGAGCTTGATTGCTTTGGTAGATTACCTCTGCACAGAAGCCGTCTGGTCTCTAAGAAAGGACCAGAAGGATGTCAGTTACTCTGCCCCACCAGGGAAGCACCAGGCTTGGAGATTGAAGGGAAGAGTCCAAAATCAGTAGCTGGTAGGATATTTAAGGTTTAAACAAACATGGAATTTCACCTGAAGCAGTCTGGGTTCTAGTCGGCTGTGTTTATAGAGACTTCGTTGGTTATAAATGACAAAAACCCAACTAAAGCAAATGTAAGTGAAAAAAGACTGTTAGTGGCTGTAGCTGGGAAGGATAGAGTGACTCTGGGCCCAATCTTATCACACTTTCTCTCATGCACCTTTGTATGTGTTAGAAGGGTTGGTGACAGGCAGAGTCTTTGTCTGAAAAAGAAAAAAGGACAGGAGAAC